TGAGAGCCTCTTGGAGGTCCTGCCTCTCCAGACACAGTCCGCAGGGTGGCAGGTATGGCCTGCCTCCGCCATCCACCCAGCCTTGCCCAGGCCCCTCCTCCGAGGCCCGGGCTCTCACAACACCGAGCCCCTGGGAGACACAGAAAGTCACAGTCCAAAGGGGCGGCCCAGGCCTGAGGTGCTGGGGGAGCCTGGGGGAGGGAGGCCTGATTCTCTTTTTGTTTGACGAGGGTAATTCTTAGAAGAGCAGGCATTTGTGACGAGCCGCCTCAAGAGGTAAAGAGAGAAGGGGCATTCCAAGCGAGGGGACAGCCTGAGCAAAAGCAGGGTGAAGAGGTGGGGTTGTCCTGGGAGGTGTGAGGGATTGGGGGTGGGGGTGGAGGTCTGATGAACATCCCCCAGCAGGGATCTTCCTGTGTGGCTGCAGGGGCTCCTGTCACAGGAAGTAGGGGTGGAGAGACTTAGCTGTCTGTGTCCCGCCTGCACTGGGCTCTCCCCCTGGACTCTACAGAGACCACTCTCCCCTCCCGCCTGCCCCTGGACACAGCACGGTTTCCCATTTCCGTCCCTGGAATGGCGTCCTCCGGCTAGGCTAGAAATCAGGGGACGATGGGAGGCGTATAAAGGACTCCCTCAATCTCTTCCACAGCCAGTCTGTAGATTATACTTTCCAAGTGTCCCTAGAATCCCTCCCTTCACAAAGAACCTGCATATGCCTCCCTGGGGCGAGGCCTCCCCACCTCCACCGCAGGCCCCTCTGCGCATCCTCCACAATTTAACAAGACTGGTTCTGGCACAGCCTGAGTCTGACTGGGCTCCCTCCACCCAGGATGGGGAACAGCCTCAGGCCCAGGCCACATGGCCACAACCTTCCCGCCTCACGTTGGAGCCAGACTGCTTTCAGTTCCCAAACACAAGAAACTCGGGTACACGAGGAAGCTGGGGTCCGCACGGCACCCTGTGCCTTGAACACTTCCCCAGCCGGGAGACGGGACTATCAGACACCAGTTCAGCCCAGCTCCCCTGCCAGGGTTTTCCTGGGCTTCAGGCAGGGATCATCCTGGGTGGCCTGGGTGTGTTGGATCTTGTCTGTTCCCCCACCAGCCTGGGAGCTCTTCAAGGGAGGGGGGAGCTGGGTCAGATACCTCTCTAACTCCAGGGCCCAGAGCAGGTATCAGGATGGGTCTGTTGATTAAATAAGTAATTAGTGCATCCCAGACAAGACAGTGGGTATGGAACCGTCTGGACTGGGGAAGCAAGCAGGGGGTAGTGCAGGCTGTGCCTTCAACCCCCATGGCTGGAATAAACCACTTATTCTTCCTGGAGCCTCCTCTGTGAGACAGAGGGGTCAAATGAGCTTTTTAAAAACAGCCCTCAAAAGGCAAGTGTGCTATAGAAACACAAAAGAGGTGACAGTCACTATCTGTCTTGGGCTGGGAAGTTCCTCCAGGTGTCTGACCTATATGCCTCTTGCTACCAGAGAAGCTGGTTTTGACATTGTGCCGCCTCCCACAGACACGCAGTCCTCAGGGGGCCCTGGGGGACAGCCTGGGAACTGTCTTCTGTCCTACCAAGTCCTTAATTGGCAGCATTAGAGTAATGAGTCACAGACAACAACCAATTAATTATCCCTGGTTATAAAAAGCCTCACTTCCCCTTCCTAGCTGTCGAGTGAGCCAGCCTCCTGCTGCCAGGCTCCTCCACTCCCTAGGGGCTGGGGGCAGAATAGGTCATTTCACCTCTCCGGTCCTCAGTTTCCTGCTTCCTTATTTGTCCAGTGTGTGTCCTGGGGGTGGGGGACTGTAGGAGCGAAGGCTTGGAAGAGGTTGGGATGCATCAGGCTAGTGGGACAGGAAGGATCAGGCTGGTGGGGCAGGAAGGAGGCTGCCAGCTGGCACGCAGAGGAGGGGGTTCCTCCGGGCTCCCCAGAATCCACTCCGGTACCGCGGGGCCAGCCCTTCATCCCAGAGCCATGGAGGGCTCCTGGTCCCACACTCTTCTTCCTCCTCCCTCAGGCAACTTCCCAAGTGTCCCTCCAGCCCCCCTTTCTTCCGCTTCTTGTAAGTTCCCATTTAATAACATATTCCAAACATGTATGTCCTCCTCCCATCAGCCTCCATCTTCTGGAGGCTCCTGCTGCAATTCTATTGTGGACTCCCTCCCCGGTGTGATGTGGCTTCAAGCCTTGAGTTCCCCATTGGCATGACAGTTAAAGTTAGGGCCGATCTAACTAACAATCAACAGGGCAAGGCAGGTAAGCTCTGGGATCCTAGCATATACTAGGTACCCAATAAATGGTAACTATTACTCTCCAGCTTTATTTCCAAGGCTGAGCAAGATCATGGGCAAAATGATTCTGTGACTCACTGCCCCGTCTATCACCCCATTTCACAGATGAGCACAAGAGAGGTCTGCCTTCACAGAAGAACTTGACCCCGGGCTTGTCTGAGTTGGGAGAGGCCAGGGGAGGCTTCCCGAAGGGGATTTGAGGGGATGCAGTGCCTGGGCAGGGGGAGGGGCCCCCAAAGTCAGAGGGGAAGTCAGGGATGAGAAGAGGCACAGGCCCAAAGATGGAGGCCCCGCCCCTTTTGGAGGCCCTGGCAGTGCTCTCCCTGCCCCAGCCCCCAGCCTGTGCTCCCAGAGCTCACCCCAGGGCCTGTTTGTTCAGGGAAACATACAGAGTTTGCTCCTACTGTGCACCTGCCCTGACAGCATCACTTCTCCACACTGTGTAAGCCAGAGAGCCCAGCCCACATCACCATCCCCGCCTAGCAAGCTAAGGAGGACCGAGAGGAAAAACAAGGGGGAGAGAGAGAAAGGGTGTGCTGGCAGAGGCTGGAACCCAGGAAGCGGGCGGGGAAGCGGAATGAGGTGAGTGACAGCGAAGGGGGAGTCTGTGGTTCGTGGGTCACCTGAGGCGAGCTCAGCCCTTCCTGTGGAGGCCCTGACACCCCCTGACACCCAGCGCTGCGGCAAAACCCCATCCTGGCCAAGCTGGCTTGCCGTCTCTGCAGCCCGACTGCCTTTGCTCCCTACCTGGCACCCCAGACCCTGGCATTTGCAGAGTAGGCAGCACTTGGGCTCCGAGTCAGCTCAAAACTGGCCTCAGCACACCACTTCCTCCACCCGGGGCCCCGTGCTGGCCCAGCCAAGACCAGTCACTTCCTGACTCGGAAGCCTGGGATGAGCCTGCCCTGGGTGCGCTGAGGGGTGTGAGATGTCCTGGGAGCCACGCCTTCCTCCAGCCGCTACTCCCATGGCCAAGGGCTTGCTGCTGGGGAGCCCAGCCGTCCTCCTCCCTCCTCCCTCAGCTTCGCTGTCTTCCCACCCAGAGCCGTTGGACCTACACTGCCCAGGGGCCAGATCCCAGCTCGGCCCCTCACTGGCATCCCAGGCTTCTGCTTCCCCATGTAAATGGTGGTGACGGCATCTAGCTCGAGGGCCCGTTGGGAGGAGCGAGTGGAGTGGCCGTGTGTCAGCGCTCAGCACCGCTCCTGGCACAGACACCCGGGTGCCGGCTGCCTGCCAAGCTGCTGCCTTTCCCGAGGCAGGGAGGCCCTGCTGCCTGCCCCCAGTCCCTGGGGAGAATGGACCTCAGAACAAAGCACAGTGTAAAAGGAATTCTCAAGTCTTGACCCAACCCCTTCTTCCATTTCACAGATAGAGAAGTTGAGGCTCTGGAGTCCAGACTTAATGACTAGTCTCAGCCAGCGCTGTGCCGGTCACTTCATGCCACTAGTGCATGCCATCCACTGGCAGCTCCCTGAGGAGGGACGTTACTGCACAGGTAAGAAAGCCCAGAGTCAACTGGGTACGAGCAAAAGAGGCACAATATGGACTTAAGCCAGCCTGACTCCCGATCATCACTGTGGGGGAGATCCCACGAACACGTGAGGGGAAAGGCTGTCCCAGGCAGGGCCGGGGTTGGGCAGGCTGAGGCTGCCATCTCAGCACCGCAGGGACCTGCCCTGAGGACTTGGGCAGGCCTTTCCCTCTTCCTTGCCTCAGTTTGGCCTGTGGCCTCCTCTGGGCTGGGAGGGGGGGACGTGGCAATACATCAGGCCACGTGGCACCTGCTTCTTACCATTTGGGAGTCACGACCCCAGGCTCCTGACTCAGGCTAGTGCTCTGGCGGCCACCAGCACGTGCAGAGAAGGAGGGCAGGAAGGTGGACAAGCTTCCCCATCCTTCCCATCCAGAGAGCCTGGTGATACTTGACCTCTGGCCTCAGCTGCCACTCACACCCCCTTGGCCACTGCAGCCTGTTTGGAGGCTGGCTTCTTTGTTCCGACAAACAGGGGAGAGGAGGAAAGCTGTTTACCAGGAGGCAAACCTTTTAGATAAACTCCATTGACCTCACTCTCTTCCCTCCTGAAGGAGTTGGGTTCCTCCAGAGAAGAAACTGGATCCCTCAGCGAACAGTGACCCCAGGACGGAAGCGTGGCTCGGCTCCGGGTCTGGCTGGGGGAGCAGGACACCAAAGGAGGCTTTCTTTATCCGGCCGAGCACCTGCTGCCAGCTCTGACAGGCCTGTAGCTCAGGTGACAGAGTCCTGGTGCCAGCCCACGGCCCTGCCAGCTCCCAGGCTCTGGGACGGCCTGGCACCACCTCCTCACCCTTCCCCCCAACACTCCACCTGCCTGCCTGTCTTCTGGATCTGCCAGGAAGCTGGAAACTTCTGCTCACCTGGGCATGAGCCCCTCCTAAAGCACCCCCTTCTGCGTAGACCTCAGGAGCCGCCCAGGTCCCGTGTGTCAGAGGAGAGCTCACCAGCTACATCCGTGACAGGCCAGCCTACTTCCTATCCCACCTGGGTCAGGTAGATTTAGGAAGGACCACGGGCCCATTTTACAGAAGGAGAAACTGAAACCCAGAGGAGCATTGAGCATCCAGAGCCACACAGCCGAGTGATGGAGCTGAGACCCTTCCCTCTCGCTCCCACCGGCACCCCCTGCGCTGGGGCTCCCTAGGTCCTCTGACCCCACCCCAGCATGGCTCACCGGCGTGGTGTCATCGTGAGATCTCTGGTAGCGTTTCCAGCGGCAGCCATAGATGCCCGTGAGGCAGGAGAGGCACAGCTGAGGCTCGTAGTACTGCAGGGGCTGGTGTCTCACCATGCTCTTGCGTGCGGCCCTGGCGCCCGGCCCTCAGGCACCCATGGAGACCCCTGGCCTGTCCTGCAGGAAGAAGCGCAGGGGTGAGGTGGGGAGGTGCAGGCAGTCAGCCCCACACCCAGCCTCATTAGGTGCCAGTCCTGCACAGGACCCTGCAGGGAGGCACACACACTTGCGGGTTCCCCACAGTCTCCTTCTCCTCACCCTCCACCCCACTCACCCCCGGCCACACTTGCTCTGTGCCTGCTGCTGCTTCCTGTGCCCGGAATACTTTTCCCATAAACTCCACAGGGCTCCCCCTTCCCCTCCTCTCCTCAGGTCCTTGCTCAAATGTTCTTTTCTCAACCAGACTTTCCCAGGCCACCTCCTAGACTGCAAGCCCTTCCCATACTCCCTCAGCCATTCTCGGCTTTATTTTCTCAATCGTGTCCTCCAATGTACTTTATTTAAAATATAGCAGGCACTGAACACTTTGAACACCTCAGGCGGCAGGTACAACAGCCCAAACTCATTTGATAACTGAATGAGGTTGTGGTTGAGCCAGGAAACTGCTCTGCTGCCCACAAAGCGTTCACCCCTTTGGGCTCAGGGAGCCGTCAGCCCAGGTAGCTCTGCCCGTGGGTGGTGAAACAACGAACAGTAGCTTGTGGGTCGAGCTGCTGCTGTCAGGGCAACTGTCCGGTCTTGCCTGGTGCCTGGGAGACACCTGTGAGGGGCTCGGTCTCTTGGGGCCAGAAAGGGCCAAATGTGGCCGAGTGGCCACCAGCCTGGGGGCCTCACACACCCTGATGTCAAACTCAAACATCATCTGATCTTATCACCACCGCTGTTATCCCATTCACAGACGAGGAGCCTGGGGCCCAGAGCCAGGAGTCAGGACGCAAGCCTCAGTCTGTGGGACTCTAGAAACTCAAAGCCACATGTTATGTGTCAGGCCCTATCTTAGGTCCTGGAGACAATGTAAACGGGACAGGCACACTGATGCTCTCAGGGCCCCTGTAGGACGGGTGAGAGGCAAAGTCAGTCACTTAGAACTGTACTAACTAAGCCCTGTGAGATCAAATTCACAAGCCAAAACTTTCACCCTTTATTTAAAAAAAATTTTTTTTAATTTATTTTTAAGTTAAATTTATTTTTGAGAGAGAGACAGAGGGTAAGCTGGGGAGGGGCAGAGAGAGAAAGAGACACACACAGAATCCAAAGCAGGTTCCTCTGTCAGCACAGAGCCTGATGCGGGGCTTGAACCCACAAGTGGGGAGATCATGACCTGAGCTGAAGTCAGATGCTTAATCAACTGAGCCACCCAGGCATCCCAAAATTTGACCCTTCCAAAGTATACAGTTCAGTATTTAGCATACTCAGTTTTCAGTATAGTCGCAAAGTTGTGCAACCATCCCTACTATCTGATTCCAAAGCATCTTCATCATCCCAGCAAAAAACCCCAGACCTATCAGCAGTCACTGCCTCATCCACCCCACTCCAGCCCCCGGGCCCTGGCAACACAAATCTACTTTCTCATTTATGGATTTGCCTGTTCTGGACATTTCACATGATTGCCATCAGATGGCATACGGCCTTCTGCGTCTTGCTTCAATCATTTACCATGTTTTCGAAGCTTGCCATATTGTAGCAGGAATCACTACTGCACTCTGTTTTAGGGCTGAACGATCCTCAACTGTACGGAGAGATGATTTTACCCATTCATCAGTTGAGGGACATCGAGGTTGTTACTTTTTAGTTGTTATGAGTCATACTGCTAACGAACAAGTTTCCGTGTGAGCATGTTTTCAGTTCTCTTGGTACATACTTTGGAATGGAGGTGCCGGGCCATAATGGCAATTCCACATTTAATCTTTTTTTTTTTTTTTTTTTTAAATACAGATTCCCCAGCCCCACGCCCAGATCCCACATTCTAGTGCTGTAGACTCAGGATGGGCTGAGGAATCTGTATGTTTTTAAGTATTTATTCATTTTGAGAGAGTGTGCGAGTGAGTGAGCAGGGGAGGGGCAGAGAGAGAGGGAGGGAGAGAGAATCCCAAGCAGGCTCTACACTCATCACGGAGCCCAATGCAGGGCTCAGTCTCACGAACCGTGAGATCATGACCTGAGCTGAAATCAAGAGTCGGATGCTTAACCAACTGAGCCACCCAGGCGCCCCTCCACGTTTAACCTTTTGAAAACGGCCAAAGGCTGCTTGGCAAAAACAGCAAAGCGGCCGCACCTTTTGACATTTCCCATGTATTATCCTTATCAACACCATTCCCCAGATGAGAAATCTGAAGCACAGAAAGGTTTAGCCATTTGCCAAAGGTCACACAGCAGAGCCAGTCAGTCTGGCTCCAAGGGGCCTCGCTCTAGGCCCAGGGTTGGCAAATGATAACTCACGGGCTGAATCCAACCGGCCACCTATTTTTATATAAACCACAAGCTAAGAATGGTTTTTCTATATTTTCACAGTTTGGGGAAAAAAACTCAAAACAAGAATATTTTGTGACACACGAAAATTGTATGAGACTCAGATTCCAGTGTCCATAAATAGTATTATTGGATGCAGCCTCAATCATTTGCTTAAGTATTGTCTATGGCTTCTGTAATTGTAACTGCAGGGGTGAGTGATTCTAAGAGAGACTGAATGGCCAACAAAGACTAGAATACATACAGCCCAGCCTTTTGCGGGGGTGGGGGGACAGTCTGCTGACCCCTGCAACCCCTGGGCAGCTATAATGGCTCAGGAGCTGGTATTCTAGAGAGAGTAAGGGGGGCCCATGGGCACTTCACACTGTGCATGGAGGGGCGGGGCATGCTTCCAGGAGGCAGCACTGAGCCAGGCCTGTCTGAGGCCTTAGTGCCCCTGGGGCTGCTCCAGGGGGGTGGTTCAGACCTACTGCTTCCACCTCGGCAGCACTCAGGGCCTTGACCCTTCCCCCCCGCCCCCCAAATGCTAACCTCCGCACAGGGATTATAGCCCCCAGTCTGTAGGAGGGGGGAGATGCATTAGGGCCTTGCTGGGAATATTGACTGACCAGGAGCCTCCTAATTGCTGGGAATTGTCTGGCATAGCCTGTGTCTGCGGCTCCCCGGGGAGGTACGTGGAGCACACGCAGCTACTGGGGGCTCTTGGGGCCAAGCCAAGCCCAGGGCTTAGGGAACTGAGGGGGTGGGGTCTGGTGGCCTAGGTCCCATGGGGTTGTGGAGCGGGAGGGGCAGCTGGGGGCAGCACTCTCAGTCTTACTTTATTCCACCCTAGAAGGAGTGTACAAATGTATTCCCGCATTCGCAGCCTTCCAGAGCGGGTAGATGGCCAGATCTTACAAAGCCAGGGGGCCAAATCCTACCCCAAGATTAGGGCCTCTACTGGTCAGCTCAATCACATCTGTCCCCACCTTTGCTCTGTGACTGGGGTTTCTAGGGTTCTTTCCTGAGCCTTGGTTTCTGAATCTGTAAAATGGGGTAAAAGCCTTTGCCTTGACACCTACAGGGGACCAGATGGGGGAAGGGTGTCCCAGGAGGGCACATCGCTGCAGTGACTGAAGTACAGCAGGTGGGCGTTCTGTGAACAGGAGTGCACACAGAGGTCTCCCTGCTCTCGCCAGCCTTTCCCAGGACTCCCAGAGCCTGGGACTGAGCCCCACATGTCCTCTGCCCTCCCCCCATCCCCCCACCAACTGAGCATTACAAGGCGCCAGGAATGGAAATTGCACTTCAAATCAGAAGAGCAGAATCGCCTGCACTAGAGCCTCAGCCCAGGGCTCAGCTGATCGTGGCTCTTGGAATCGGCTCCTCCCCCCACCCCCATCCAATGAATTTTCACATGTTCTCCTGGGGCCTTTTTGTCCTTTCCCATGGCTTCAGTTACCAGGTGTGGACAAGCCCTTCCAACTTGCAGGGTCACCCAGGCCCTGCGGACCCAGCACAGCCACACTGACCTCCTCACTACCCCAACCTGCTTCTAACATCCCTCACAGCCTCTTCCTTGGCCAGTGGCCTGACCCGGGTCTCATCTCTCCCCTAGATAGAAAATCCTCTGGCCTCCCTCTGGGCGTCACACCCCACCAACCCAAGCCCTCAGCTGTGGCCAGAGTGAGCTCTTGAACAAACGGCCTCTGATTCCTCCAGCCTCATCCTCCAGAACTTGCCATCCCTCCAGCTGATAAACACCTCTCCATCCTTCAAGTCTCAGCTCAGATGTTACCTCCTCCAGGGAGCCTCCCATGAGCTCCAGGTTTGGTTAGAGAGTTTCCCAGTCTCCCATAGCCCCAGGAGTCCCTCAGTCTTCCCCAAGCACCCTGTGTGAGCACCAATGATGGGCCTCTCTCCCCCATGGGATGGCTTGGGTTGTTCCCATGTCCCCAGAGACCAGCCGCAAGAGGCGGGGGCACTGGGGGCTTCCCGGACGGTGCTTCTGGGGAGGCCCGGAAGTCTTGCTAACAGAGATGTGCTGCTCAGTCACGGGGCACTCAGACAAGCTCCCAGAGGCCAGACTCTCCCCAGCCTCCCCCGCCACCTCCTCTTCCCGCCAGGGCTAATGGCATTACTCAGGATGGATCGATTTCTCCAAGCCACCTCCAGGACTGCTGATATCAGCCAAGTTCCCAAGAAATCCCTAGCTGGGAGCTCCTCCTGGCCCTGGGATGAGAGAAAGCCGTTGCTCCTGAGCCTGATGTTCAAGGGCGCCCCAGAGTCCAAAGTTCTGTTTTCTGCCTGAATTCCCAGCCCCTGCCCTGAACCTTCACAGCCTCCTGTTTTACACAGGGAAGGGCCTTCAGGGGTCAGGCCTGGGATGGAGTGAGCACCTGCTATGGCACAGGATACTGGCACCTTTAGGGTCCCTCTCCCACCCTGACATCCTGGGCATGGACCTGAGCCTCCTCCTGCTTCTACCTCACATGACCATCCTCACTGCCCTGAACCATGCTGGCTGTGGCCGCCAAGCCTGTCCGCCTTCCCGAGAGTGGAAAGAATTTCAGGCCAGGTGTCGGTGCCCAGGTTCCAGCCTGGTCTTCAACGGACTTGCTGTGTAACCTTGGACAGGTCACTGGCTCTCTCTGAGCCTTACTTTAACC